GCCAGTCAGGCTCAAACTGTTGAATTGCAGGCAGCCGACAGGCAGCAGAAGTAGCCTGCAGTACTGTGCAGTGATACAGGGTTGTTATTGGGCTAGTCCTTGACTTACGACCAAAATTGGGACAGGAATTTCTGTTGCAAAGCGAATCTTGCCCATTTGTTTAACAGATACTGTTTAAAAAATCACTGCAATTGTTAAGTGAATCATCCTCTCATCCAGAGAGTCTTACTTCCACCATCGATTCTCCACATTGGAAGCCAACTGTGAAGGTTGCAAGTGGTGATTGCTCGACCTAGAATACTGCAACAGTTTGGTCTAGTGGTTATAGCACCAGGCTAGGAAGTGGGAGACCTTGAGTTGAAATCCCATTTTAACCATGAAAGCCAGCAGGGTGACTTTGGGCCAGTCACTCTCTCTTAACCCAACATGGCTGTTGTGTGGAAAATAGAAACAGGTGTTTTGATATGTTCTACACCTTACTTGAAAAAGTAGTGCGTGTGGAATACAACAATAGTAAATGCATGTTGATTGCAAAATGCCCTAATTTTGATCATGTGACAATGGGGAATACTGCGACAGTCATAAGTGTGAAGTCTGGTTACAAGTCGTGTTTTTAAGTTCTATTAAGTTCTAAACTTTGAGTAGTGACTAAATGAACAGTTGTAAGTTGAGGACTACCCTCATAGGGTGGGGCTTCCTGTACCTTGTGGCACATTATCCACTACAATCTTGCTAGGCAATTCTTGAATAGGACTGACTACCTGTATGGGGAAAGGAATTCACAGTGCATTAGGAGTAACCCTACCATGAGGCAGGGCCCTGGGAATTAATCCTAGGAGGAAAATTATTGCTGACACCTCATGTTGTCAGGTAATGGAAAGCACTTCCAATAGTACCCAAGGTACAGGGGTGGTTTCCTGCTGGCATTACTACCAGTTCGGTGCGCAAAAAAATGTGCATTTGCACCTAAAAAGGCCTACGCATGCGAACACCGTTAGGGGGGGGGGGAGTTCATTTTTTCGATGAAGATTGTTCTGCACTTGAAAATCAAGATGGCGCCACTGAGTATAGAACCGGTTCGGGTACATGTCCAGCCAAGTTAGCAATAGCAGTTCGACTTATATACCACTTCATAGGACTTTCAGCCCTCTCTAAGCGGTTTACAGAGTCAGCATATCGCCCCCCACAGTTTGGGCCCTCATTTTACCCACCTCGGAAGAATGGAAGGCTGAGTCAACCTTGAGCCGGTGAGATTTGAACCGCCGAACTGCAGTTAGCAGTTAGATGAAGTGGCCTGCAGTACTGCACTCTAACCACTGCGCCACCTCGGCTCTTACTATCTACTATCGGCTGAACCAGTCTGAACCAATAGGAATCCACCTCTGCTACGTTAGTAAAGAGACTAACATTGTGACTTCTTGAGAGCAGGAGGGATCCCTTTTCTATCTAAATCACTTGGGCTGCCCCACGGACCTTCGGTCTCTCAATCCTAGATCTTGGAACTTGGCTGCGGAGTCAAAGATCATGTTATTGCTCTGTGTCCATCCGCATGAGAGACTAATGAGGCAGGACCTCTTGAACCAAGGTGGCGCAGTAGTTAAATGCAGCACTGCAGGCTACTGCTAGATCAGCAGGTCAGCGGTTCAAATCTCACTGGCTCAAGGTTGACTCAGCCTTCCATTCTTCCGAGGTGGGTAAAATGAGGGCCCAAACTGTGGG